TTTTTTAAAAAAAATACTTGTTTGAATAGTTTTTTTGTAAAAAATTTTTTTTTTTTTGGAATTTTTTTTTTAAATAATTTTTCACAATTCTTTTTTTTTTACTTTCTACCACCACATCCACAACTAATAATAATAATAATAACACATTATTACTACAACAACTACAACCACTACAATTTACTTTTGCTGTTTACTGTGACTACTGCTACTACTATTACTATTTTTATCAGTACCTCTATAACTCTTACTCCTACTACTGCAACCACTACTGCTATATATATCCTAAATACGTCTGTTGTTGGCAGTTATTGCTATTGCAATGATGGATAGTAATACCAGCTCCTCCCCACCACCACCACCACACCACCAAGACCACTACCACAACGGACCACTGACCACTCACCGACTCTCTGCTCGGCCACTTTGAGCGTGACCGCAGTGAGCGAGACGGGGGGCGATCTGCCCTTATCGTTGAAAGCTGAGATACGGATGGTGTAGGTTGTGCCTGGCTGCAGCGGCTCCACGGAGAACTGGGGCTCTTCCGACGACCTGTTGAGGTGTAGGGAGCCTGGCTCATCGTACACCTCCGCCAGAAAGAGTTGCGGCATCCCTCCGTCGAAGCCCCTCTCACACAGCACTTCGATGTTCTCGGCCGTGTTGTTGATGATTTCGCAGTTCTCGGGCGAGGACGGGGGACCTGAGGAGGGAGCGGTACGAGATACAGAGAGAGAAAGAGGTGAGGCAGGAATGAGGATTATGAAGGGTTCATTATGTTCCTGGGGAAAGGGAAGGGACTGGGAGAGAGGGTATATGTGTATGTAAGTGCCTAGTAATTACAAAATGAGCTTGTGGGTTTTGAGTTAAGCTCTTTGGTTCGAAATTTAACTGTAAGTGATATTGTTTTACGAAGCTCTACAGTGCTTCAGCTTCTCTGTTAGTGTCCTTTCTCACTTTCTATTGTTTTGACGATATGAAGGTTTATTAATACCTATAGGGTAACTACTCACTGCTAACCCCAGATTTGGAGAGGATACTTATGAAGGCTTTCTCGTTCTTTCCGGATCATAGTTAACTCGCGAGTGAGAGAAGAGATGAGAAGAAAAGAAAATGACAGGTCAAGTCACAAGAGTTTTGAAGTTTAAGCTTTTGACAGACAACGTATTGATAAAGGCAGGCATCAACAGAATCAAAACTTGGGCTAAAATTCACATTGGGAGTGTTGTGTATAAGGGCTGATTCAGCAAGACTACGTCTGTGAAAGGCAGAAGAGGAATAGATATCTTTGGCAGAGGACCGGTTTATGTGAGAGCTATCTTCTCACAAAGGACAAAAAAAATTGTTAGCGTCAGCAAGGAGAACACTTCCATTCAGTCTATTAGAAAAAGAGCAACAAGTTTCACCAATATAACGGAGAGAGGAGGATGAAAAAATACTGTAAACCACGTAAGCAACAGTGGAAGTAGGGGAAGTAAGAACCAGATTTTTTGGAACTTTATTAATTTCACGAAAGCAAGTTCATAAACCAGAGGATAATTAATAATGTTAGAATTTTGTAAACTGGAAACTAAGGAAAGGCAAGTAGAAAAGTTTTTACAAATGAAGTTCATTTAGGAGAGAGAAAAAAGTTCGTTTAGCAGAGGAGTAGATAGAGTTTGCAAAACTGGGAGGCGCTGCGACGAATGGAGAAGTTATAGTCGAGAAACTGAAGATCAGAGATGCAGAGGGCGCTGAGGAAGCGAGAAACAAGAATATTTCACACACAACATTGCTTAGATTTGCGGTAGACGGAAAGCATAAAACCAAATCAAGGACCTATGGACATGAGCATCAAAGTTACAGAAAGTAATTAGTAGGATTCCCATTCATCTTTAAACATGAAAGATGAAACAAGATTGTTAATAGAAAGACGAAAGTGTTAGAGAAGACTGAAGTCACGCATCCAGAGTGTGACGACTTACGACAATAGAGGAATGTAGAACAGTTTCAAAATATTCCAAATAAAAGTTAACAAGTGCAAGCAATAAGCGACAACCAACAGTAACATCAGAAATCTGAGAATAGAGGCTACTTTGGAATGAAAATGAGAATCTACACAAAGACGAATATATAAAATATATCATTATTAGCAAAAAATGAAGTAACATATATCGTTTATTCACTAGTTAACTTATTTCATGATCAGGCACTGTACAAAATCAAAAAAATCAGCTATAAGAGCCAGATCTATAGAAATGCTAAACATCAAATTTATACACGTAAAAGAAGAGAGAAAAGTAATTAAGAATAAAAACAGCCCTAGAAACAAAGTAACTCTACTAAGTAAAGCCCCATTTAGTGTCATACACCAACACTGTCAAGTCAGAGACTGCACTATACACATGAAACGGTTCATTGTCTTGTCTTGCCTTCCCTTCCCTTCCCTTCTCTTGCTCTTTTGTTTTACATATATTAATCTTATGTTTAGCATATGTTGAGATCTCATTATATATATATATATATAATATAATATATATATATATATATATATATATATATATATATATATATAATATATATATATATATATATATATATATATATATATATATATATATATATATATATATATATTATATAATTTTTTTATTTTTTATTATCACACTGGCCGATTCCCACCAAGGCAGGGTGGCCCGAAAAAGATAAACTTTCACCATCATTCACTCCTTCACTGTCTTGCCAGAAGGTGCTTTACACTACAGTTTTTAAACTGCAACATTAACACCCCTCCTTCAGAGTGCAGGCACTGTACTTCCCATCTCCAGGACTCAAGTCCGGCCTGCCGGTTTCCCTGAACCCCTTCATAAATGTTACTTTGCTCACACTCCAACAGCACGTCAAGTATTAACAACCATTTGTCTCCATTCACTCCTATCAAACACACCTGCTGGAAGTCCAAGCCCCTCGCACACAAAACCTCCTTTACCCCCTCCCTCCAACCTTTCCTAGGGCGACCCCTACCCCGCCTTCCTTCCACTACAGACTGATACACTCTTGAAGTCATTCTGTTTCGCTCCATTCTCTCTACATGTCCGAACCACCTCAACAACCCTTCCTCAGCCCTCTGGACAACAGTTTTGGTAATCCCGCACCTCATCCTAACTTCCAAACTACGAATTCTCTGCATTATATTCACACCACACATTGCCCTCAGACATGACATCTCCACTGCCTCCAGCCTTCTCCTCGCTGCAACATTCATCACCCATGCTTCACACCCATATAAGAGCGTTGGTAAAAACTATACTCTCATACATTCCCCTCTTTGCCTCCAAGGACAAAGTTCTTTGTCTCCACAGACTCCTAAGTGCACCACTCACTCTTTTCCCCTCATCAATTCTATGATTCACCTCATCTTTCATAGACCCATCCGCTGACACGTCCACTCCCAAATATCTGAATACATTCACCTCCTCCATACTCTCTCCCTCCAATCTGATATTCAATCTTTCATCACCTAATCTTTTTGTTATCCTCATAACCTTACTCTTTCCTGTATTCACCTTAATTTTTTTCTTTTGCACACCCTATCAAATTCATCCACCAATCTCTGCAACTTCTCTTCAGAATCTCCCAAGAGCACAGTGTCATCAGCAAAGAGCAGCTGTGACAACTCCCACTTTGTGTGTGATTCTTTATCTTTTAACTCCACGCCTCTTGCCAAGACCCTCGCATTTACTTCTCTTACAACCCCATCTATAAAAATATTAAACAACCACGGTGACATCACTCATCCTTGTCTAAGGCCTACTTTTTCTGGGAAATAATTTCCCTCTTTTCTACACACACTAACTTGAGCCTCACTATCCTCGTAAAAACTCTTCACTGCTTTCAGTAACCTACCTCCTACACCATACACTTGCAACATCTGCCACATTGCCCCCCTATCCACCCTGTCATACGCCTTTTCCAAATCCATAAATGCCACAAAGACCTCTTTAGCCTTATCTAAATACTGTTCACTTATATGTTTCACTGTAAACACCTTGTCCACACACCCCCTACCTTTCCTAAAGCCTCCTTGTTCATCTGCTATCCTATTCTCCGTCTTACTCTTAATTCTTTCAATAACAACTCTACCATACACTTTACCAGGTATACTCAGCGACTTATCCCCTATAATTTTTGCACTCTCTTTTATCCCCTTTGCCTTTATACAAAGGAACTATGCATGCTCTCTGCCAATCCCTAGGTCTAGACCTTACCCTCTTCCATACATTTATTAAATAATTGCACCAACCACTCCAAAACTACATCCCCACCTGCTTTTAACATTTCTATCTTTATCCCATCAATCCCGGCTGCCTTACCCCCTTTCATTTTACCTACTGCCTCACGAACTTCCCCCACACTCACAACTGGCTCTTCCTCACTCCTACAAGATGTTATTCCTCCTTGTCCTATACACGAAATCACAGCTTCCCTATCTTCATCAACATTTAACAATTCCTCAAAATATTCCCTCCATCTTCCCAATACCTCTAACTCTCCATTTAATAACTCTCCTCTCCTATTTTTAACTGACAAATCCATTTGTTCTCTAGGCTTTCTTAACTTGTTAATCTCACTCCAAAACTTTTTCTTATTTTCAACAAAATTTGTTGATAACATCTCACCCACTCTCTCATTTGCTCTCTTTTTACATTGCTTCATATATATATATATATATATATATATATATATATATATATATATATATATATATATATATATATATATATATATATATATATATATATATTATTGTATAATGCAAATATCGCAGATATCTTAATATACAACATAACCACAGTAATAAGAAATGGTAATCTCTCACACCTTCATGGAACAGTTTATGTAAAAACGGAAGTCTTATAAAGCAGAAATGTCACCTCACATTTACATTCAGTGGGTTGTTTGTTACCTCAGTGACATGTTAGGAGTGACATGTCAGTTAATGGATGTCTCAACTTTTTAGTCAGGTAAAGAGTGAAATGCCAAACAAAGGGTAATTTATTTGGCAGCAGTGCCAATAATGTTGACAAATTTTACGTATTTTGCACGAATTCCTTTTATGCTCTCCTGGATGCATTTCCTAATACTGTACTATTTTATATAAAGCTTGATTCCATTATATTTACTTCATGCACTGATTTTCTAGTTAAATCTTTCTCAGTTTTTGTCGACCAACTGGGTAACTTAAAATACCTCGCATGAATCAACAAAGCATTACAATCGCGAACAGTTTTAATTAATACATGATGTTGCATTTTGTAGAAATAATTCTGTAGACTCTGCCATCATTCTTTTGGAGGGGAATTCTTAATCACAGTTTTTATGACATCTTAAATCTTACTTTCACCGAAATTTTCGAACAGAGAATCTCAAGAAATCTTTGATGATATGGCTGCATTGGCACTTTCTTGGTTAAATATGGTTCCTTATCCTTTCTAGGGTTGCATTTCTGCATGTTTTACCTATTAAAATAGGAATAATTTAAATCGAAAATATATACAAAAATAGTTAACATCTGTTCTTAACAGTCATTCAGCACATCTCGGCAGAGTTAAATGGCCAGTTCTCCTTCAGATTCTTGAGAGCTCTGCTTATTTTTTTTAGCACGGAATCGCTTGCATTGAATGTTTACTATTGTAATTCTTGTAGCGACCAGTCAGAACCACG